TCTCATCCTCTCCCTCTCCCCTGGTCCTGCTCTCTAGAATTTGGAGGAGGAACAATTGTAACACAGGCTGCAATGGCCAATAAACAAATGCACAAGATCCACTTTGAGTCCTGCTTCATTCATCCAACAAATATTTAGTGGATATCTAACAAGTAGCAGGCACTAGAAATTTAAATTAAATTTAATAGACATTGTCCTTGGCCTCATGGAACATACAGTTTAGAAGGGGAGGCAAACATCAAACAACCATGTAAAAATGTGCAATTATAACTGTAATTAACACGTAACTAGAAGAAAGCTATGTATCTTCAAAAATAGCACCACCATTTCTCCTTTCCCTGGACATAAACAATAAGCCTGAGAGACATGGATAATAATTTAATAAAATTATTATGAGCAGCAACCCCAAAGCTTCAGCTTTATTTTAGGATTGCTAAACAAGAAGCCTTTAAGAGGTAAATCAATCAGTCATGACCTACTGTCTCAGTCCCAGAAATCTCAAAGGGGACCACTATAAAAATGGGAGATGAAAAAAAAAAAATCACTGCCCTGTGTAATGAGGTATGGTTCTGAATCCACTGTGAAAAATAAAGATACCTTGAAAATAATGAATTAAATAAGAAAATATTTATTTTCTACATGTGTGTAGACTCTTATTTCTAATAATTAACGTATATCTCTGGGAGACGATTTTGAATATTTGTGTTTGGTTCAAATTACTCATGGAACAATCTGAAGAAAAAAATAGATGTATCAGTTGCTGATACATCTACCCACACTGGTGGGTAGGTATTGAATTTGGAAATGTCTCCACACATTGAATTGTGTTTGACATTTAGAGTGTTAGTGATCATTATTTTCCATGGTAATCTTTTTGCTTGTAAAAATTGATGGGGTACATGTGAAATTGTTACATGTACATGCTGCATGATGAAGTGATCAAGTCAGAGTATTTAGGGTGTCTCTCACCCTGGAACAATACATTTTTTTTTTTGAGACACGCTCCATCGCCAGGTGCCAGGCTGGAGTACAGTGGCGCAATCTCGGCTCACTGCAACCTCCGCCTCCCGGGTTCAAGCAATTCTGCCTCAGCCTCCTGAGTAGCTGGGACTACAGGCGCAAGCCACCACGCCCAGCTAATTTTTGTATTTTTCATAGAGACGGGGTTTCACCATGTTGGCCAAGATGGTCTTGATCTCTTGACCTCTTGATCCACCTGCCTCAGCCTCCCAAAGTGCTGGGACTACAGGCATGAGCCACCGCGTCCAGCCATACATTTTTGTTTCACTATAGTCATCCTATATAAATGTTCTGATTAAACCCTTTTGGTTTTTTCTTGACTCATACACTCAGATGATGACAAGGACTTCTAACAGGAGGACTGTAGTGGACACTGTTGTAGTTCCTTCTTAATCTTTCTGAGTCACTTTTACTGGTTCTGTGCCTCCTTTCTCAGCTTCTTTGAGGTTTACTTTAAAAAAAAATTATCAACTTAGTGAACATATCCGCCACCTCCAAACGTTTTTCGTGTGTGTGTGTGTGTGTGTGTGTGTGTGTGAACACTTAGCACAGGCTTTACTTGATTTCTTTCTAATAGCTCGCATCTGAGAGCTTCAAAAGAATGCCCTTGGGCATTAGGAACCCTCTTCAGGACACAGAGGTGCCTGAGAGTTTTACTTGTCCCCTTCCTTCACTCACCTCACAGTCCACCAGTAGCCAATGGATGGCTGGAGTGGAACAAAAGCCTACTTCCTATGCCCTGATATGAACAAACTCTGAGATTTATGTATGCTCTGGATTTCCTCACTGGATCAGGTTGAATTTGGGATTTCAATAGAAATTGCACCTTCGTTTAGCCTCTTCACCATTTCTACTCAACTTTCCCCATTCAATTAACGGCTTTGCCTTAACAAGTCAACTTTATTTGAGTCCTTGACTCCATATCCAATTCTAGGAGAACCTGGCCTGTGATGAAAGCCTTTGGTCCTAAGACAAGTCTAATTCCCATGGGTTTAGGGTAGATATTCCTAAAAGTTGGAAAGGGATTCATAACACAGTGATATGAAGGAAAAAGCTTAGGCTTGACTTTCTGTGTAAATACTATTCATTTATTTTATACCTCTTTTATGGATCCCTTCCAGGCTTTCAGAACACGTATGCTCTACTACAGGAATTGGTTTTGCTCTAGAATCTGCCCTCCTCTCTTGAGCAGTGCATTTCCCCACATATAATCTACTTTTAAGACTCCTATCAATTCGTCCTCCAAAATTATTTTAAATTAATTCCTATACATATCATTCCACTCCAGGTCACCATCATTTCTCAGTTGGACTACCCACTCATTTATTCATCTTATATACACAACTGAAATATCAGAGAGTGATTTCATTGTAATGTGAAAATTTTTCTTGGGCAAGACAAATCTTCAACAATGAGGTAAATATCTTTAGGCTTTGGCATCAGGAACCCTTATGGCTATGTTACAGAAAAATTTTAAAGTGTGCCTGCATCTAAGGTCTCATCCCCAGAGAGGAGTATCCCTTGCTTTATGCAGCTTTTGGCTCCTGGCAAGTGGCCTTGACTCTCATGACCACCTAAGGACTACTCCCTCCCCCAGTTCAAATTGTCTCAGCATCAAACATCATTGTTCTAATCAAAGCATTGTTGGTATTTTCATTCTACTGTTGTTGCATATTTTACCTATCTACTGTGGCAACCTCCAGCCTCAATGAGCTGCCTGTCTGGGCAGTCTACATTGTCTCTCTCGGGACCAAATGTTGTTTCTATTAATGCCCTGTCTTCGAAGTTGCATGTATTTTGAGTCTAGCCCTAACCCTAGCCATACTTCCCCATAATATCTTTAATGCAAAGGTTTGTATAACATAAGCTTTTCAGGAATGCCTATGGCATATTGAAAGAGAAACACTCATGCCTGTAATCCCAGCCTGTGGGAGGCCGAAGCAGGCAGGTCACTTGAGGCCAGGAACTCCAACATTGCAAAACTCCATCTCTACTAAACACACACACACACACACAAATTAGTTTGGCATGGTGTAGCATGCCCGTAATCCCAGCTATTTGAGAGGCTGAGGCACGAGAATTGCTTGAACCCAGGAAGCAGAGGTTGCAGTAAGCTGAGATTGTGCCATTGCACTCCAGCAGCCTAGGTAACAGAGCAGACCCTGAAAAAGGAAGGAAAGAGGAAGGAAGGAAGGAAGGAAGAAAGGAAGGAAGAAAGGAAGGGAGGGAGGGAGGGGGCGAAAAGAAAAGAGGAAAGCAATGGAATGGAAAGGAAAGGAAAGGAAAGGGAAACACTTATGCTGCATGCAGTGGCTCACACCTGTAATCCCAGCACTTTGAGGGGCTCAGGCAGAAGAACTGCTTGAACTCAGAAGTTCGATACCAGCCTGGGCAGTGTAGCAAGACCTCGTCTCTACTAATTTTTCGTAAATAACCAGGTATGGTGGTGTACACCTATATTTCCACCCACTAGGGAGGCTGAGGCAGGAGGATGGCTTGAGCCCAGGGGTTTGAGGCTACAGTGAGCCATAATTCTGCCACTGAACTCTAGTCTGAGTGATAGAGAGAGACTCTGTCTCGAAGACAAAACAAAACAAAACAGAAACATTTGAGCAGTTCTTATTTTTGAAGAGTTACAGAAATGTTGGAAGAAGACAAGCATGTAAAAATAAGTACATGTACATTTTGTACATGTAGTACATACAAAACTTATTTATTAATAAACTTGAAATGGGTGCATATAAGAAGGAGTGATTTATGCCGCTTGAGGACTCACAGTGGATGGAGTCTTGAGAGATGGGATAGATTCAGCTAAAATAAAGAAACTTTCAAAAGAGAAAATGAAACACCAAGACATCACCAATTGCTAATTATCTAATCTATAACTCAGAAGTTTGTCTTTTCTCTGATTTAATCATCCATTTCTTTTTATTCAAAATTTTTTCAAATTAAAATTTCATTGAGTTTTTATAAAATATTAAATAATCAAAATTCTAAACGTTTCATGACAAATGTTATTGACGTGTTATGGGGAAACAAACACCTCATAGATTGCTGGTGAGAGCATAAAATGGTACAGTAAGTTCAGAGGAGAGCTAGATAGACAATCAATATACAGCAATGTTATTTAACATGTATTTAACTTTTGCCCAAGAAATCCAGTTTTTAGATTTCTAATTGTCAGGTACACTAGCAAAAATATAAAAAAGATATATGCATAAGTCTGTTATGTACAGCATGATTTGTAGTACTAAAAGACTGGCTAAATTAGGGCACATCTACCAACAGAGTACTATCAGGTTATAATAAGGAGAAATCTTGTGGTTAAAGAAGACTTATTCTGAAGTCAGCTGGGATTTGTTTTAAAAGCTATGGCTGAAATTTGCGACATTATTTCAACAAAACATAAGAACCTGAATATGGAATAGACAGCTTAGGGAAGATCAGGTTATACTTCCTGGGAAAAATCTAGTGAGAAGGAAATGGTTATTGGGGTTACAAAGGCATACGCATGTGAACTTTTGATCTATTCTTGTACATGCATACTGCATACCAGTAAGCTTAAAAGAACTAACACTGCTCAAGGGCATGAGAACTGAAGTAAGATGGTGAGGAGAGTTATGTGTTGGGAAAGATCATGGGATTTTCTGTCTCATGAATGGAGAGTCAGATTTGCCCAGAGAAAGAAAAGTGACAAGATGATTTTTAATGGGTTTTACCCTCTGTTACTATGTGTGCTCCCATGTTATAATGACTAGCATTTTCATATTGTACACAATGTATGCCACACACAAATGTAAATATCTGGAAACACTTGGCCACAGAAGTGCTGACATACCAATTGAAACAAGAAAAACAATGTAAGTCTACAATGGGCAGACAGAGAAGTTTTCTTAATTGGTGGTGCTAGGTTGAAACTACTTCTGTGCTCTATTCTCTCCTCTCAGCTTTCCAAAAGCCATTTGGAAATGGCAGCTGTGCTTCATCTCATTGGATATATGGAAAGATACAGAAAGGAATCTCAAATCTGGGACTCACTGTTTCTCATCCAGTAAAATGCAGTCTTGCTTCCTAAGGCCTATGGGATACAGTTTTGGAGGGCTAGGGCCTTGCATATCGTCCTGCTGAGGGCATTCTTCACCTCACTATTTCTCAGGCTGTAGATAATGGGGTTCAACATGGGAGTCACGACAGTGTAGGACAATGATAGGAGCTTCTTGCCCTCAGGAGAATTATTTGACTTAGGCCGAAAATATGTGAGGCTTACTGATATATAGAAAAGTGAGACAACAAGGAGGTGTGAAGAGCACGTAGAGAAGGCTTTATGCTTCCCTTTAGCTGATGGGATCTTGAGGATGGCAGCAGCAATGCGAGTGTAGGAACACAAGATCAGCAAGCAAGGGACCATGACCACCAGAATGGTTCCAACGATGGCGTAGATCTCAAACAGTGCTGTGTCTGCACAGACCAGCCTCAGCACAGGTGGGCTGTCACAGAAGAAGTGGTTCACCTTGTTGGTGCCACAGAATGGAAAGCTGAAGAGCCACGTGGTCTGCACAGTAGCTACAGGAAAGCCTGGGAACCAGGAGGCAGCAGCCAGTTTGGTACGTGTCCTTTGGTTCATGATGACTGGGTAGTGCAAAGGACTGCAGATGGCCACATAGCGGTCATATGCCATGATGGCCAGGGGGAAGCATTCAGCCACCCCAAAGAAGAAGAAGAAGTACATCTGAGTGGCACAGCCAAGGAAGGAGATGGTTATGTCCTGGGCAAGTAGAGTCCCCAGCATTTTGGGTACGATGACTAGGTTGAAGCCAATCTCCAGGAAAGACAAGTTTCTGAGGAAGAAGTACATGGGGCTGTGTAGCATGGGGTCAGCTAGGGTAACCAGAATGATGAGGCTGTTTTCCATCAGGGTGACCAGGTAGATGGTTAGAAATGTCAGGAAGAGCAATGACTGTATTTCAGTAGGCAGCGAAGAGAAGCTCATGAGGATAAACTCACTTATTCTTGTCCAATTTCCTGTAGCCATAAGTATGAGCAAAAGTCCCCAGCTGTGGTCACAGAGAAAAAGTCTTCATTAGAAATCAAATTCTCAATTTTTTTCAGATTCCCTTTTAGTGTCAGGGAAACAGGCAAGATCAGCACCTCAGCTGGAAGAGGAAGGGCCTTGGGTTGTCCAAGAATAAAAATACAATAAAGTATAGCCAGAGCCTAATCTATGAGATGGGCCTGAATCAGGCTCTAGAGGAGTTGATATTTCTACTCACACATTAAGTTATTCAGAAATGCCATGCAAAGTGAGAATCATGAGTTTCTGAAGGAACCATCAAAGAATACATTTTGGCAGAAAGTGATGTTTCTGAAAATACTTAAACTTATGAAACACACACAGTATTCATAATCTCATAAAAGAACACATACATTTAAATTTATCAAAACTTTAGAAACATATTTATAACTATCATGAAGAATGCATTTGATAATTTTTCTACTCTTCATGAATCTTTCTTGACTGGCTGGAATTTAAAAGGAGGGTGAGAGGTTAGCATGTATTGAGGACCATTTACATAGCATGTTTTTGTTCTTTTATCTCTCTTTTATACATGAGGAAACTGAACCGAGATAATTTAAGGAACACCAATTACATGGCAGATCTTGAATCAAAACCATATCTATTGGATTACAAAAGCCTTCAGATTTTTACTAAACCATGCTTTGTTCAACTGTCATGCCTTATCTGATGACTAACTCATTAATTTGTAGGAGAATTAGAATTGGCATTTCTGCAAAATCACAGTGAAGACAGACGAAAAGATAAGCAAGAGAACCAACATCATTAGCATTAATAGGTTTAGGAGATTTCCTAGACACAAGTGGATCTCAGTTTTGTATTATTGGTTTCTAATTTTAGTTGGTTATCTAGAGGCTCTTCTTACTGTCTTTGTAATCTAGAATATTGAAGTCTAATGGAGAAATGGTGATATGAAGCTGGAAAACAAAATTGGCTGAGAGACTGGGAAAAATAAAAAAAGAAATGAATGTGGTTAGCAAACTACAGTAAAAAAAAACTTTAATAATAAAAATAAAAACATTAGGGGCAGTAAATTGATAAAAAGTAAAAGATAAACAAGATGTGGTCAATGTTTTGGATATGTTACATTAATAGACTTTTATTCTATGCTGAGAATTTTGGACTTTATAGATGAGGAGAGCCACCTTAATATTTGAAGCTGTTGAGTGACGTTGTCATAATGCTATGTAGAAGGATCACTGACACTGTTGAGAGAACAGGATAGAGAAGGCATCAAAAGCTGTAGGCCTGAGATCAAGAAGACTAGGTAGCATATCCATAATTACTCTCAATCTTCTACCCATTTTCAAGCAGCAGACAACTTATTAAAGAGGTTAAATATTAGTCAGGTCTTGGTGAATAATTTGAACTTCAAGGTTATGTTTAAAACTTCAGAGTATCTGTGAAGGAAAAAACATCATTCTTATAAAAGATCTATAACCAAACTGATGTAATATTTCTCAGAAGTGCTAAACATTAAATGAAGTAATGACTACAGTTTTGAGCTCAGTTTCAGAAAAACAAATGTAAGTTTAAAAAATAATAAAAGAACCAATGATGAAAGAACAGATTGTCTCAACTAGAAACTCTCTCACTGTAGGCCAGGCATGGTGGCTCACACTTGGTAATTCCCAGCACTTTGGGAGACTGCGGCAGGTGAGTCATTTGAGCCTAGGAGTTTGAGACCAGCCTTGGCAAGGTGGCAAAACTCCATCTCTACAAAAAATGGAAAAATTATCTGGGTTTGTCATATGCCTGTTGTCCCAGCTACTCAGGAGGCTGAGGTGGGAGGATCACTAGAGCTCAGGGGGTTGAAGTTACAGTGAGCTGTGATTGTGCCACTGCACTCCAGCCTGGGTGACAGAGTGAGACTCAGTCTCAACAAAAAAGAAAAAAGTAAAGAAAAAAATGGAAACTCTTTTTCGCAACAGGTTTGCCGCCAGAACATAGGTGTCATGAAAACTACCCCTAAAAGCCAAAATGGGAAAGGAAAAGATGCATATCAACATTGTCATCATTGGACATGTAGATTCCGGCAAGTCAATCACTACTGGCCATCTAATCTACAAATGTGGTGTCATCGACAAAAGAACCATTGAAAAATTTGAAAAGGAGGCTGCTGAGATGGGAAAGGGCTCCTTCAAGTATGCCTGGGTCTTGGATAAACTGAAAGCCGAGCGTGAATGTGGTATCACCATTGATATCTCCTTGTGGAAATTCGAGACCAGCAAGTACTACATGACTATCATTGATGCCCCAGGACACAGAGACTTCATCAAAAACATGATTACAGGGACATCTCAGGCTGACTGTGCTGTCCTGCTTGTCGCTGCTGGTGTTGGTGAATTTGAAGCTGGTATCTCCAAGGACGGGCAGTCCCGAGAGCATGCCCTCCTGGCTTACACACTAGGTGTGAAACAACTAATTGTTGGTGTTAACAAAATGGATTCCACTGAGCCACCCTGCAGCCAGAAAATATATGAGGAAATCATTAAGGAAGTCAGCACTTACATTAAGAAAATTGGCTACAACCCGACATAGTAGCATTTGTGCCAATTTCTGGTTGGAATGGTGACAACATGCTGGAGCCAAGTGCTAACATGCCTTGGTTCAAGGGTTGGAAAGTCACCCGTAAGGATGGCAACGCCAGTGGGACCACGCTGCTTGAGGCTCTGGACTGCATCCTACCAGCAACTCGTCCAACTGACAAGCCCTTGCACCTGCCTCTCCAGGATGTCTATAAAATTGGTGGTATTGGTACTGTTCCTGTTGGCCGAGTGGAGACTGGTGTTCTGAAACCTGGTATGGTGGTCACCTTTGCTCCAGTCAACATTACAACTGAAGTGAAATCTGTTGAAATGCACCATGAAGCTTTGAGTGAAGCTCTTCCTGGGGACAATGTGGGCTTCAATGTCAAGAATGTGTCTGTCAAGGATGTCCGTCGTGGCAACGTTGCTGGTGACAGCAAGAACGACCCACCAATGGAAGCAGCTGCCTTCACTGCTCAGGTGATTATCCTGAACCATCCAGGCCAAATCAGTGCTGGCTATGCCCCTGTACTAGATTGCCACATGGCTCACATTGCCTGCAAGTTTGCTGAGCTGAAGGAAAAGATTGATCGCCATTCTGGTAAAAAGCTGGAAGATGGCCCTAAATTCTTGAAGTCTGGTGATGCTGCCATCGTTGATATGGTTCCTGGCAAGCTCATGTGTGTTGAGAGCTTCTCAGACTATCCACCTCTGGGTCGCTTTGCTGTTTGTGATATGAGACGGACAGTTGCAGTGGGTGTCATCAAAGCAGTGGACAAGAAGGCTGTGGGAGCTGGCAAGGTCACCAAGTCTGCCCAGTACGCTCAGAAGCTTAAATGAATATTACCCTAATACCTGCCACCTCAGTCTTAATCAGTGGTAGAAGAACGGTCTCAGAACTGTTTGTTTCAATTGGCCATTTAAGTTTAATAGTAAAAGACTGGTTAATGATAACAATGCATCATAAAACCCTCAGAAGGAAAGGAGAATGTTTTGTGTACCACTTTGGTTTTCTTTTTTGCTTGTGGCAGTTTTAAGTTATTAGTTTTTAAAATCAGTACTTTTTAATGGAAACAACTTGACCAAAAATTTGTCACAGAATTTTGAGACCCATTAAAAAAGTTTAATGAGAAAAAAAAAGAAAAAAATGGAAACTTTCTTACTGACATTGCAAGGCAAGCCAGCCCTTTGTCTTTCAGAATAAGTAAACAGAAAAAGTTATGGGAGATATGAAGACACAACACTTAGGTTAATGAGATGAAATCCAAGATACCAGAGCAATTGTTTTCCTTTTCAAAAAAAGAATCTGAAAGTACGTTGAAATGCATTGAATTGCCTTTATTACTTACTCTCAACAAAGCCCTATAAAAGATTGAATATTTAGGCCAGGCACAGTGGCTCATGTCTGTGATCCCAGTACTTTGGGAGGCCGAGGCAGTTGGATCACTTGAGGCCAGGAGTTTGAAAACAGCCTGGCCAACATGGCAAACCCCTGTTTCTTCTAAAATTACAAAAATTCGCTGGCAATGGTGGTACATGCCTGTAATCCCCAGCTACTCAGGAGGCTGAGGCATGAGAATTGCAAGAACTCAGGAGGCACAGGTTGCAGTTAGCCAAGATTGCACCGCCGCATTCCAGCCTGGGCGACAGAAGGAGACTCTGTCTCAATAATAATAATAATAATAATAATAATAGAATACTGAATATGCACTCATGAAAATGACAGTATTGGGCCAGAAAAGACCACCTGAGGGACAAAACAAAGCCATGATTATTAAAGTTAAACCCTGTGGAGCAAAATGCCAGAAACTTAAGAAAACTGAGTTAGTTAGGATATAAGTTTGAAAAATTACACCCAAGTTACTGGTAAAAATTATGAAAACATAATAATTATAAGAAGAGTAATGAAGAAAAATACAAGAAATAAAATAACAGGTATTCCACCATGACAAAGAACCAAGAGGGGTAGAAATAACATTCAAAGAAGTACCAGGGGAAGAATAAATATCTCTGATCTAATGGAAGAGATGACTTTCTGAACCAAAAGAATCACTAAGTCTGAAAAAAAATTTTTTAAATATTCACACAAACATGTTTTTATTTTAATGAAAGATTTCTTTAAAATTCTGAAAATAGAGAAAAGTTCTGGTAAGTAACCAAACTGGAAAATGATTAAAACAAAATAAAACAAAACAAAAATACCCCCTATAAACCACAACTAAACAAAAAATAAAAAGCATTCACCATTAGGGAAATGCACATAATCTTATAAAGACCCCAATGATATATCACTACACACATATCAGAATGGGTTAAAAAAAAAAAAAAAAGTGACAATGCCAAATGCTGGTGAGGATTTGACTAATTGGATCATGCATACATTGCTGACGAAAATGTAAATGGTATCAGAGGTGTTCCATCTTTTGACTTCCCTGGGCCACATT